AGGCAGTTGTGAGCAAGCTGGATGTTTTTGTGAGCATGACAAACACACTGTGCAGCTGGAGATCTCAGAGAGAGAAAGGATGAGCTGATTAATCTGTGGCCTAAATGTCTGAGCGTAGAAAACTGAGTTGTCTGTGAATCCACTTGTGCTTTACACTAGGCTTTTAAGAATTGTTCAGGTATAAACTATACATGCTGCATTCATGCAGTAAGAAGATTAATTTAAAAAATGTTGGCTGAAATTAATACAATTATTTTAAAGGAAAATGAGAACTTCGACCTTTATTTGCAAATTAATCCTATTCCTTTCTGAAAGTATTTTGCACACTTTGCAAGCTTTGCTTGCTTTTTTTTTTTAAGAATTCAATGACAAAAGAGCTATTATATTCTTAAATCTAAAGGAGAAAAAAATGCCCTGTGCATCACAAACAATACCCTAATTTATAAGTTTTCTTTTTTCTTAAAAAAAAAAAATGCTGTCCGTCATACTTACAGTGCTGATGCTTGTACTTATGGTAGCCAAAGTAGGTTGCAATAATCCATTTTCTGCTTGTGAAATATTTTTGCATAATAATTACAAAGACCTGAAGTAAAAATATTTTTGGACAATTCTGCATTTTATATTTCAGTTGTAACTTCCAGCTAGCAATTCACTCTACAAAAAATTAAAATAGCCTTCCACACCTGACTGCAACTTTTGTGTAAGTGCAAGCAACAATGCTGCAGTATTTTTTTTAAGGTGAGCCACACTGATAGCTTTGCACTTCCTTGAGGCCTCTTCTCTTCTCACTGAATGRACTCCAGGGAATGGCATCATGTCGGGCTTTCCAGATGGATTATGTGAAGCCATAGCTCAATGTCATTTTCAATAGCAAGGCTCATAATTAAAGGTCAAATAGTCACTTCATCTGCAATCAATCAATAGAAGAAGTACTAATACTAAGTACTAATCAATCAATGGCAAATGCACTAATAAAAGCCATGCATCAAATGTCTGCATATGTGTGTGCTCACATGTACTGTGCATATATGTGAACAGGGAGAAAGAGAGAAAAAGAACAAAGTGTGGGCAAATATGCCAGAGGCCTTTGTGCGTACTGCATTTATCCACACTACTTGTAAGTTTACAGCTCGTTCCTCTTGTTAAATGAAATAAAAATAAACATTATTTTTCTACATATGAAGTGTATTTCAAAACTTCCAAAGCACCCATCACAGTTCAAAAAATACTAACTTGCAATCCTAAATGAGAAACACAAAGGTATGTACCCTGCATAATTTGTCCTTACACAAACATGCCCTGCACTCTGATCTGTGAGACAAAAAGTGTGTCAACTGTTCTGTCTACAAAATAAAACCCAGCATATGGGAACAGCACTCATCTCCGTGCAGAGCAAGCACTTATTCATGGATTCAACAGTGGAAGTGGCAGTTGGCCTCATGAGCATGCACTGCATGGGAATTAGTTGGTTTCATAATATGGTGTGGGAGAAAGTGACTTATAAAAGTCTTCTCATGCCTCTCCTATTACCACTTCTAAAGCTTTAAAGCTGTCAGCGCTTCTCCCACTTTTGTCGGTGCCACTCTGAGTCCCGCAGGGAACGGACCAGACGTACCTATCGGAGCTTCACCTGCCAAGTCGAGAGAAATCAATTCCACAGTGCAGGAAGAAGCGTTGGGGGGTCATTTATGTTCTACCACAGACAAACAAGCAGATCTCTACAACGGGTATGAAACCAGGCCCTGCGCGGTTTGGGCTTTCAGGCATTGTAATGACAGAGAGAGAGCAAAAACCCTCCGCGCTGTGGGAGAACAGAACCTTCCTCCTAGCGTGGCTTACAGTAAACACCTCTGGACAAGGAGAAATGTGACAGAACAACAAAAACAGCGAGAGGAAAATACCTATGTCTCTTCTTACTTCCACTGAGATCAGGGCAGACAAGATAGTGCTGCACATCCATTCAACTATCATTTAGAAATAGCTGATCCTTAAAAATAAAYTACATCTATTCTGCTTCCACCTTCAGTGAAAGAACACATGCTAGTGGCTTTTATATTATCAATTCAGGGGCAAACAATTTTATAAAACCAGCTCTTACCTCTTCCTAGCATGTTCCATGCACCTACACGTTTAGGTAGCAGTGTATATTTATGCAGCTCTATTCCTATACAGATCTGTCATTAGTAAGCACCAAATAGAAAAATATTGATGACCTCAAAACCAACTAGCTTACAACAACAGTGGGCAAGCTTATGTTGCACACAGAAGAGTGGCTGGCCCTCAGGCTTACTCAAGATGGGTTCCCAGGGACTGCCACAAAGAGCGTTTCCCATCAAGGATGATATGTAATTTGTGATGTGCTGCTGATGGCCACCCACACATAGTAGCAGTCTGGAGCCTCAAGAAAGCTTAGATGAAGCTCAATCCCAGGGAGGGAAAATAGCAAGGGAAGCAGGCCCCATGCTCTCAGGAGTCTGAATGCAGGCACTTAAGGAAAGGCAGTGCAAAACTGAAAAATCTAAAAATGACAGATTTCTGGTAACCTGCCTCCTGGGAAGCAAATTGCCTTCCAAGAGTCACTAGCTCTTCAGGGATGAAGGTAAAGCAGTCTGACCTGAAGGTGACAAATTGAAGTCTGTAGACAAGAAACAGTGCTACAACATTGCACTCTATCACCAACCTCTTTCATTTCGGTTTGCACACTTAGGTGTTCAAGAGAGCCCGTACTAGCAGAGTAAAAGCATGCACCACCAGAAAGAAGCTGTAGAAATACCTGAAGTCAGGGTGGGTAATGTATTTTTGTCAGTGCACGTGGGGAAAGAATTCTACAAAATGAAACATAGATCCAGTTAATTAGACTATAGTGAATCAGACAGCAGCAACTTGGGAAAAATCCTGCAGAAAAGTCAAGCAAGCTATGGACACACAACTGGACTCTTATCAATGAGAAAGTAAAATATAAAAAAAGAGGGCTAGCAGAATAGAAATGCACTGATTCAGCTGTGTATGTAGAACTTGCAGGTCAAGATGAGCTATGGGAGGATGCTTGGTAGAGCACATGAGAGAGACCCAAAGTCCTCACTTTTCACCAGGTGAAAGCAAGCCCCTTCAAGACGTAAATATTGAAGAAAATATGGTTCTTTTCTGAGTGTCATGATAAATGGCATTCACAGAATGCCCTGAGTATAAAATTATTTTCATTAGGAAGGAAGGATGCTGTAAAATACAAACAGCTTCTGTTCTACAGCATCCCGGATGTGTCCTAGGTTTATATGCACTATCACTAAAATTTTAAGTATGGTAGCACGCTATGAGATAGATGGAGGAGTCACTTTCCATAAACACAAATGTAACTGTCCTCCTGATACAAGCTCRTTTATTTTTTGAGGCTTCAGTTTTATAGCACACATGGCTGGAAAGTGTGTGCTTTCCACTCAAGTGGAAATTTAATCTATCTTCTGCTCCAAGGCAGGGCCAAACTGAGCTATCTAATTCCTAACTGAGGTTTGTCTACAATGATGAGATTCCAAGACATCAGTAGGCAACATATTCCAAAGCTCAACTGTCTTCACRTAAGACGGGTTTTCCTGATTGATAGTTTAAATCCTCCTTGTTACAGAAAAAGTCCWTTCTTTCTTAAGGTCCACTGTGAATAAGGTAATTTCTACTTTGCATCAAMTACTAACTCTTATAAAATCACTACTGTATCTGAGCTCAGACTTCTCTCACCAATCGCAATTTTTTGACTCTTTCCCATGCATCATGTTTTTGAGATCTATGATCACCCATGTCGCTTTCTTCTGATCTCTTTCCAGTTGGTCCACATCATTTTCAAATTGTGGAGTCCCAAATGTCACATAGCGACATGAAAAAACATAATATTGTCAAGCCATATCACCTTTGCTACTTCTCCCCAATCCTCAGGACCTCATAACTTTGTGTGAAAGGAAATTAGACCGGCTTGATACACATTTGACAAATCTATGAGACTTACTCATCTGCTTTCTCCAGCAGYGTTAAAATTATTTAGCTATTGTTTCAGTAGTTTTCTAGCAAGCAAAGTTAAACTAATTGGTTTGTAATTCCTCAGCCCCTCCTTGACACTCTTTTGAAAAGAGCAGYTGTGGTTTGCCCTTTTCTTGTCTTCCAGAAACTACCTTCCTTCCCACAGATTTTCAAGGTACTTGGTAATAATTTGGCGGCACAGGACTGGCTGTATGATCAGTTTTATCATATTAAGCTGACTTGAAAACATTGCACCTAAGTACTCTCTGACTCCTTCCCCTGTTTCAAGCCCAGTTCTTACCTTCTTTGTTATTAGCACCAGCTACGTTAATCTTTGGCAGGCACTACCARAGAGCTTTGATAAGGCTAATATTGTCATATATGCTTTACCAGACACRTGTTTTCATATTTGAAAACCAATAACAAAATATTCAAGTTGGAAACCTTACACTRACAGAACATAACAGGGATGAAGCACTATCGGGTGACTAAACAGGACTCTGATTTAGTGGTATGCTGTGAATTTCCATCAGAACATCTTATTATCACTAAGGGATTGTAAGTGACAAATGTCTCAATACTGTTTTGATGAATGAATTCCAATAAATAAAACACTGTCAAAAAAAAAACCTACAGACTTCTTAAACACGCACATTTTGCTCATATTAAGGAGAAGACAACACTGCTTCTTCGTGATTTCTGAATAGATCACATGTTTTGATTCTCTCTTGTCCTAGTTTTGAGACATAATGTCATTACTGTGGGACTATGCAGATATACCTTAAATTGTTTTCAGGAACAAACATCAAAAATTATCAATATTGGATGAAGCAACAGAACAAAAACAGAAAAAAAAAACATTTTCCCTAAGTGAGACGGTCTTACCACATAATCATTGAAGTCTCAGGTGAAAAGACCATGTTGTCTCGCCTTTAATAAACATTTAATTCCGCTATGCGCAAACATGAATATCTTGTTCTCTCCTCCTGACTTACCCAGGGTGAGGGATTTGTGCGTGGAACAGAAGATGATAGCCACTGTGTCTGCTGCTGTAAAACCAGAGTTATTCCTAAAAAGAAAGAGTTTTAATCAGCTCTGTCAGCAAAAGCCTTCCTAAAACATTTTCGATCAAATGTAGTACTTTGAGGATCCATATACAACTTCACATCCCTTTGATCAGTTCTAGTGCCAGAAATAATTCTACCCACAAATGAACAGTAGTGTTTGTTTTTTTTTTTTTTTAAAGCAGAATTGTTTCTTGGTTGTGGCAAACTCTCTAATGAATACACTCCCTCATGAAAAGGAACTATTCTGAGCATGYTGTATATGTAGGACAACTTTATTCCAGTCAGAGTTACTTCTGCAAACATTCAGCTACATGTCAGTGGCCAGTTTGCCACTGTTAAAAAAAAGAGAACGTCCTATGATTTATTTTCCTAGTACTTAGTATTAACAAAAATGCTTCATTTACATAATTTGTTTAATCTACACTATGAGAACTACTTAGAATATGTCRTTTTCTGTATCTGCTTGAGCAAGAAACTATTTTTGAGGTTTACATGTTGTGGGCAGAAGTTTACATAGAGCAGTATCTTACTGCCCAATGGATGACCATGGTCAAAATTAGGAATAGCTTTCTGAAGTGCCAATATTAATTATACTGTTTGAATTGGCCATTACTTGGGGCATTTGGGCTTCTACAGTCGGGCCAAATCCTTTGTAATCATTCCTTACACATACTGGGTAACTTATATTAAATATAGATCTGCAGCCTGCTGGGTGTTCTAGCACTTCCCAGGCTAAGCGAAGAGCGCTGCTAAGGGAAATACCTCGGCAAGCACAAGCCACAGGAGGATGGCAGACACTCACACRAGCGACTCACTCTACCTTCGGCTAAGGCCAAGGCCAAAGGGAGCAAAGYGACTACGCAACAGTAATGTGCCACCTTCTGAGGCACAAATGGCCAGTTCTTCCTAGTCTATATTTAAAAAGGAAAAAAATATCTTTACCAAATATTTGTTCAGGACGACTATCTTTTAAGAAACTCCATAAATGTAACACATTTTACGCATACAAAGACGACTGAAGGCCAGTAAATGTATCTTGAGATGTAAAAAGTCAAACTGAGTTCTCTCTCTCATATGTCACCAGTATGTCTGCAGGGCAAATTATACCTTCAGTGACATCTGTGCAAATCCATTTTTTTCAGAGGATGAGTTATAGCAGTGATTGATTGCGATTTAACAACGCTGTAATTAACATACAAGAAGAGACAGAATTCAGGTCCTGCTCTGTTAGCCTATGAAATGTTAACAGACAAAAATGCAGTAAAAATGAAAAGAACATTAAAATGGGTTCACTCCTACCCAGGAATCTGCCCTTACCTATCTGTATAAACTGATTCATGCAAAACAAAAATATCACATATAACAAACACTCAAACATTCTGTTTCAGTACACTTGATTACCTTGTAGAGAAGAGGAAAGTCAAAAACATGAAGCTCAGTTGAATAGAAAATACTGACAAGAGAAGAGAAACAAATTAAAATTAAAATTAAACTTATGTCATGGAAGTAAAGATCATCAACATCTCTGTGTGTGCAATATGCATGTCTTTTGCACCCATGCTAAAGGGAGCAGCTTAGGCTGCTCATGTTAAGCTGAACCAAGTCAGTTCAGAGAAATCCAGTGTTCGAAAACCATAAAGGCTTTAGAGGGTGGTGATTTGGACAATTAAACCCAAAGGCATAATTATTAACAATTATATAACCAAGAAAATCAGAGCTACTACCACTGCTACACAAGATTTTCCTCAGGTACCTCCTCTGAATCAAGTATTTCTCAACCCAGTGCAAGCAGAGCAGCTGACTGCTAAATGCTGCCTGCCCATTTCTCTCATTTTGCTTTATTAGGCTGATGACATAASATCTCTTGGACACGCTCTAGCTGCTAGATATTTCAGCTTAGCCCATTTCTCCTTAACAGAATGAAAGCACAATGTGCAGGCATGATTACAATAAATATTCTCACACGTTGGGTATAGTCCTCTCCTGATGAATAATTACTATTAACAGAAGGTAATCATATACATTTAATTCCCTCGGAGAGGAAGGCTAATTCCTCTATACATCAGAGAGAGCAGCTGTTCAAGCTCAGTGCACTTTATGTGTGGATGTTTTTGTGCACCCTGAGGGCAGCTCTCCCCTCTGCAGCCCATGCGGTACCTGCAGGGCTTCTGGGGCGCGCGGAGTCCGCACGGCGTTGGCGGAGGGATGGGCAACGAGAGCAAGGAAAGGGGCTGAACGCGGCGTGGCTCCTTCCCCCTTCCCGTGCCCCATCTGTGCATGCCCTGAGGCCAATGCAGCCCGGGGGTAATGCCAGCCAAGCCAACACTTTGGATTTGACTGCAGCTTTTAACCGGGCAACAAGGCGCAGTTATTAACTACTGCCAGTGACATCTTCTGTTCTCTTACACGCTTTTCCTAAGATGCATAAATGTCACCCCAGCATGCAATTAATACTTACTTCATGAACTAAGGAAGCAATACATTGTTAATGACTTATAATTTTTTGCAACTGAGTAAATTAACTTAATATGCACAAAAAAAAATCCCTTTCTTAATGGGTATAATTCTGTAGAGCAATAAGCATGTGTTGATACCAATTATCCACTGTGCTTATTTTGCTGTGTCTAGAGTACTAACATAAAAATTACATGAAAAGATTAATCCACAGAAAAATAAATGCAGTTTCATCCCAAACTCCTTGTGCTAATTTCACTTCTGGTGTAACACAATACACAGTCAGTCAACACATGCAATGGAAGAAAAGCCTTCCTGGACTATAACATACACATTCATCTTCATAACTTTCTTATTTTTTAGTTTTATAAATATTTTAGAGGAAGAAACAAACATACAATATGTTCCTATCAGTTTCAAGGCTTACATTAATATTCTTGCAAAGAAACTCCAGCTACACACATTTAAAATAAAAATGTATATATAATGATTTTCACTGTATTGTACTATAAGTGCAATGTAGTTACACATGGCACAAATGCAGAGCTGCCTTAGAAGTAAAAGAAAGGAAAACCATGGGAGCAACCACTATACAGCTGTCCAATGACAACTGTCTAATGTCCAAGAATGTGTCTTTATTTTTTTTTTTTGGTCTAGAAGACAACTTTGCCTGTTTTCTCCAAGTAATGGTCACTGTAGYGACATAAAACTACTTCGTTCTTAATTTCTCTGCATTGTAAGTCAGAGTCTGAGATTTTCACATCCTTCTTTCTCYCCTACATTTTGGTACTGATTTAACTGCATCAGGGATGTAGACCCTCTTCAGGTGCCAATGCAAACAAGTATTTTCTTCATTTTGAAAAAGTTCCTTAGATGGCCCTGCTGTTCTTTGTTTTCTGAGTAAAATGAGCTTCACTACAAGCAACACAGTACCATTTATAACTCTGTGAAATATTTTAACACATTCAGCATTTCATAATCAAAAAACTTCCACAATGACAGCAAGTAAGACAGAATACTACCCACTAAGACAGGGGTAAATTTCTTACTGACTTTGGTGGAGGTTGGATCTGTGTTCAATACTTATTTATGTTGGACGCAAACGTGTGCACATGCACACAGTTTTGGAAGCCAATGCAGTGATCTTCTGAAATCTAATAGTTTGGGAGCTTATGGGAAGTGATTTATACTCTTGTATAATTTAGTTACCTCTACCCCAAGCAGACTGAAACTTCTTTCTCTGCACAGTCTGAAGAGGAGACAGTGCCTGAACACCACTGCTTTTCCCTCGGAGGTAATGATCTGCAAGTGTATTTTTAACTGACGGCAAAGATACCAGCAGTCTATTCTCATGTGTGTGTTATTTAAGGCTGAATGAGTAAGAGTGCTTCTAAAACAAACTCTCCAATGAGTGCCTTCATCCATCCACTGAAATATATCAACACCTTCAAATTCCCTACTAGTTTCTGAGTTTGTAATAGAGTAAGAAAGAACTATTTGAGAGTTATAACATTATTTCTGGGTAGCAGCTCAAACTCAAATCTTTGCTTTCTGTTTGGAATGCAACATCTGCTCCTGTAGGGTTGTTCAGTAATGAAGATGMCACTGCAGCATACTCATAAATGCCTGAGAAACAGTCCTGAGCCCCTCTAGAAAGCAAGGCACACCCTATAGCAGGGTCCATCACCCCGCACACCTTCCTAAGAGCACGCAGTCCCTGAGAAGCCAGGTAATCTATTTGGCTTGCGAGACACGTTAAAAGCGCAAGCTCTCGACTACAGCCAGTTTCCCTTTCCCCTGCTCTCTCCTCACATACACTGCTCTTTACACGCACACATCTAATTGACAAAAGAGATAACATTAAGACTGAACTTACTTATAAACACTATGATAATCAAGCTAAATTTATCAAGGTCAATATTTGGATTGGCAAAAGTGTCACAGAAGGTTGTGTAGATGATCATGAGGAGCACACAGCTGCTGATAGCACCAAATGGAGGCTTCTTCCTTTCGAGCCAGTCCTTGATGTATCTTCGGACAATCTGAAACACAGAAATCAACAGGTTGCCTCTTTTCAAAGATGCAGGGAGCCAAGTTGGGCATCACAAAATGAATCTGACAGCGGAAAGACACAAAGAGAAGAGAGTAATTTGGATGACGGCCACAGTGGATTTCAAAGCTTCCCTGCCACACAACTCTTCTTCTGGGGAATTTAACATTTGTAGTGCAACTTCCACTGGGCGTCCATAATGAGAGTATATTTTCAAGTACATTCAAATCCATCCTTAATCATGCCAAATGCTCTTTGCTAGCTGTCACTGAGACATGCCCATTAAGCCTCCCCAAAGTTTATCTCCTCTGCTGATACTAATGGATGTATGTAATTATCACAGTCCCCTTTGCATCAACAGACAATTCCAAGTGCAACTTTGGGAATCTTAAAAATCTGACATCTTCAGGAATTTCATGACGGTAGATAATCGAAAGTGATCCATGGAACATTTTAATATTTAAATAGCTAGCAATGCACCAGAAGTTTTTAATTAAATTATAACTCAAGCTTGAAAAGCAAAAGTGCATGTGTTGTGGGAGTTTAAATAATTCAAACTCTGAATATCTAGAGTTTTTGTAAATCCAAAGACAAATGCCATTTGCACGCTTTTAGAATACCAGAATTAACACAAGAAAACAAGCAAACGTCCTGTACTTAGTGTAACTTTTGCACTTTCAGGAAATTGAATCTGAAGCTGTTTTTCCAGATTTTTTTTAGAAGCAACCATAAATGATAAAGCAACTTAAACTTCTAATTTATGGCAAATAGTACAGGACTAAGGCTAAGTATCCCCAGCAGAGACATACATCTATCCTAGTCCTGCACGGGGAGTTGCTTTTTTTTTTTTCTCTCCTTACTTTATATGGTTTGAAAAAAAACTTTTTACAGCTTTTATCATACAGCTGTGACTTATGTTAATTTTTCAGCAACCACATTATCTTGCCTAATTTCTGCTGAAATCTCCCAAGACTGTTACCAAACTCTTCCAGAAATAATAGCACAAGGTGCTGAGACGCTTTTGTCAGAGGTTTCTAGGGGTGTCTCATTACCTTCCCATAGCAGTACCAGTAATAAACACCATCACTACCAGTTGAATAATACAGAACATTTTAGAGGTATTCAAGATTAATATTAAACCATCATCACCAGTGCCAGCACAGGACCTTTTCACACACTAGCTGCCAAAACCAGTGGATTGACCTCACGGCTGTCAGGTTTCCTCACTGCCTTCCCAGCTTTTTTGCAAATTTCTCAATAGAGAAGTCCTGTAAGTCACTGAGTAACTGCAGAAAATAGACTGGAACCACCACATAGTAGGGCACGTACTGAAGAGTTTGCATGCTGAGTTTACAAAAAGCAAGGTTTGCTGAAGACCAGTGGTTACCTCAAGGCACTTTTAAGTTTCCTGATGGTGAAAAATAACAGATTTACAGGAACCCATACATGGAGGTACTCGACACCCATGTGAAAACACTCACTCAACTTTCAAGTTTCACACTCGCCAGATGCCGAAGAGCAAACCCAGCCCCGCGGCGCAGGCGTTGGGAGCAAACCGAGCCCTGCAGTGCAGGCGTCGGGAGCAAACCCAGCCCCGCGGCGCAGGCATTTGGCAGAGCCCCTGCGGCCGCCCKGCTGCGAGGCGTGCAGGAAGAGAGCGCAGCGCTGCGCTGCCCGCCACGAGACGGGCAACCGCRCGCGCAAGGCAGCACCCGCAGCGTGGGCCCAGCCAAACACAGAGAGCCCACCAGCCTGATCCGAGCATGTCTGTGACCCTCGATCATTCCTAGAAGTAAAAAGGAAAGTTTCCGGCCTCTAAAGTGAGCACTTTCTAAGGAAGATTAAAAAAAAGAATCCTACTATCTGCTAAATTAAAATCACATCGTGGYAAGAATAACTGCAGACATTTATGGGCCTTCAGTCAGATAAATGTGAACCAGACCAACACTGAAAGTACCAGAGATACTGAAAAGTTTCAGTTAACAATTATACCAGAGTACAATTTACGCCCATTATATTTATTATGAAAACTAGAATCTTGTGTCTGTACCACACTATAATTGTAAAATATTTGACAATATGAATATTGTCTGTATGCATATCCAATATGTGCAGATATATAAGAAAGAGGGAAAATATTTAAAAAAATAATAATTTGAAGTAGTACTTCCTCCCTACCTTATACTAGTAGACGTTTTCTTTAAATACCCACCTCTGACTTCCTGACCTGGACTGGTCTAGAAGTTAATGCAAATTAGCAGACACCAGTGGGGCTTCTTCATGCATTTTACATTTAAAAAAATGGCATAGTCAGATCCTGAAGAACTAAACTGTGGCTTCAGGAAATCATGTCATGAGCCCCTAGCATCATGCTAAGAAACATGTACTATAAAAATCTAGATAAATGCAGCCTCTCTAACACAGAAGCTGATACATTCCTGGTTTCTCTTAATGTTCAAGGTGATCAGTAATTTTAGAGCATGTTGATCCAGCCTATAATCATTGACTTGAAGTAATTGAATTCTTATGTAATTTAACAGGAGAGAAATATAACCCAAGCCCCTATAGCTGTCTGTGAAAGTTGAACTACATTTTTCACAGGCAAGCTCATGTCAGCTGATTCATTTTGACTGAAAAACAATCCATTTGTTACTTATTCATGCCCTGCAGAGTTGTTTCAGGACAAGGATGCTTTGAAAGCCTCTTAATTCTTAACCCAATTTATAACCATTTCAGTGTTAACTAGGACTTTAAAAAAACTTGTAAAGATTTGTGGGGAAATAATGGTAATTCCCACACATACAATAAAGACAAGGCACAAACAGACCACAGTCAGCCAGAGAAGCCTTTTGCTCTGCAATAACRGACCGGAAATTCAAGACAGCCACAAGCAACATGGAGTGAAATGATTAAATAAAGAACCACATAGGTAAACAAGGGCCTGAAAAAAAAATACAGAGCTTTGTTTTCTGCAAATCTACAAGAAGCCAACAAGATGATTTCTGTACATTATGGCCTATGGTGAGGATCCACTCAACTCACTTGGCAGCTGCTGTTCCTGAGGAGCCAGTAAATAACACCCATATATGGTAAGATCATATATGAAAACAGCAGAACATACATTATAAACAACAATTCTCTTATCTTAATACACTTTCCTAACTGTCACACCCAGAGAAACCTGTCAGCAAAGTACAGCTAGAATACTTCCACCTGCCCACTCAAGTGCTTTACCTGCATACAATGAAATAAACTTAACATAATCCATTACTGCTTGTTATTAACTGAACTTGCGAGGAAAAGGTGCCTTCTCTTCCCCCTACATTTTCTGACATTTGTAATATATCACATCTTTCAAAAAAATACTAGGTCTTCAATGTTTAAAATGTTTTAAAATCATGAGCTGAAAGACTAGAGGAAGTCCATTTTTCTGTTTCTATATACACACAAAAGATTCTCCTGCTACTGATATCATCACAAAAAGATATCTCTTAAGGCTATCAACTCTTAGGGACTGATTTAATCTTTTAAAGAATTTAAAATGTTTTAATCGTATTTTTAGTTTGTACTGGTATATTCTTCAAAATACCTGGACAAAACACCTGAACTTTAACATTTCTACTAAGAAACACACATCACATTTTCCTTGGCTTGAAACACATAAGAAGACAAGCTGAAATAGGGCTATTAATGATGCAGTTCTAAATGCAGCAGTTACTTAAATTACTTTATCTTTTAAGGTAGGAGTCTTAGTTCGCTCATTACTACTACTACTATTACCATCACTTATAACGTAGCTTTACGATGAACTCTGCAATGCAAGGTTTTCTTGTGAAAAGTTTTCTTTGTGTGAAACAGTTTAATAACTTCTCAATACCCCTTCTTATACAGCGATAGCAAATGAAGAACAAAGATGCCACCGAATATTAGAAAAGCTGTTTCAGTGAAACASTAAGACATGTAAGACATGAAGACATGTAAGGGGGACAAACAGAAGGGAAAGTGAACCAAGATGGAGACTGTGAAAAGCAATAGAAAGAATTAGATGGATACCAAGATGGAAATGAAACTGTAGGTTGTACAACTGCATAAATGTGACCTGCTTCACGATCTGCAGCTGCAGTTTGAACAACTCTCCCAGCTCCTGGCTCAAACCACTTCCACTGGACCCTGTGCTGATGATTCTATTTTCAAGCTACGGTCTTCTGACCATTCCTCTACACTGTCACAAAGCCAAGACTTTGTATGGATTCACCCACCTTTCCATAGCTTTTAAGAGATCAACAGATATCAAATCGGCACCCCAATAATATTAATAATATTAATAATATTAATAATATTAATAATAATATTAATATTGCTTTCCTGAAGCTGGGAGCAAAAAAAAAAAAAAAAAAAAGGCATAAAATATTTTTACTTTGCAAGACAAATGTATTTACCACAGTCTTGTTTTCATTCCTCAGCTTACTGAACACCCCCCCAAAGCTATCTTACTCCATTATGTCGGTCAATTTACTCACCAGAGAGAGCTCCTAGCACAAATACACCTTTACAATTAAACTTTACAAAACAAGGCTATTTTGGAAATTAATTTTCATGTTTGGGGCCAATCCAAAACTGTTTCTTAATAGCATTAAAAACAGGTGTAACAGCAAAAACACAAAGGGAGTCTGTAAGGGCGGTGTGTATATTTTCTTCATACTTTGCATTTCTGTGGGCACTAGGTTCTGCTCCCCGAGTGAAGTGCCAGAAGGGAGYGAACTGTGGTCTCAACGCTGCTAATCTGTCATCTCGGTTTTCTGCAACAAGCTTCCCAAAGTGCTGATCTCCTTGAGCACCACCGTGGCTGCCTGCAGCACCCCTGGAGATTTAAGGAAAAGCAGGGCTACTTCCATACAGATTTAAGTTACAAGACTGAAAGCATTTGAAATCATTCCCTTTTTATAACAATTTGACTACTGTTTCCCCCTGCACCCCAACTGCTATAACTTT